TCATTCGGCCCCACTCCTCTCCCCTTCCCTTCCCTTCCCTTTGCTCTTTCTACCGTCACTACACACACACACACACACACACACACACACACACACACACACACACACACACAGTTTGCTGTGAGGCCAAAATCACAAAGGACAGTGCCACCCTAATGACACTTGACATAGCATGGGGTGCCCCCAAAAGCCTGGCCTTGAGTTCTCGGCAAGATCCCTGTGGCTGAGCCCATTCCTGGGCCGCTGCGCCCCCCCCCCCCGCCTTGACCTTATTTCTTAATTTTTTGTTTGTTGGCTTGCTTTTCTTTTTGTTTCTGGAACCACATCCAGCAGTGCTCAAGGTTTACTCCTGGCCCTACAAGTCAGGGATTATTCCTAACGGAACTGGGGGACATATGGAGTGTCAGTAACCAAATCCAGGCTGTCCAGCTTGTAAGGTAGGTGCTGTACTATTTCTATGGCCCTGCTTAGCTGCTTTTTTTTAAAAAAAAAAAATCAGAGATAAGTTCTTTACTGAAACCAGAAATATTTACTGAAATATCTTCAATATTCAAGATATTAGTGAGTAAATACATTTATTTTTAAGTATAGGTAAAGGTAAAGGTAAAGGTAAAGGCCCTCCCGTTGATCGTCATTTGCTCGAGCGGGCCCAGTAACGTCTCCATTGGAGACTTTGTTGTTACTGTGTTTGGCATATCGAATACTCTCGGTACCTAGCCGGGCTCTCCGAGAGGGGCGGAGGAATCGAACTTGGGTCGGCCATATTGGCTGCTTGTAAGGTGAACGCCCTACCGCTGTGCTATTGCTCCATTTTTAAGTATATAAAATACTAATTGTCTAAACTACGCAGCACAAGTTATCTTTCACACAAAGAAAGAGAATTGTGCAAAACAACCAAGCTAAATTCCAGAAATCCCTAGTTGTTAAGCAATATACCAAGAGGACTACAGCTTATCGAGTAAATACTATTTTTCACTCTTCACTAAATATGTATTTCACATAACAGACTGTGATGGATCCAAAGAAGTCAGCCAACATACTAGTATGTTTCAAGTCCCCAAGCAAAGGACACACTTACAAGCCAATGGTTCTTAAGCCTGTAGCATGCCGGAAGAAAATTTAAAGGCTTTGCAAAGGGAAGACCTCAAAATAAAAATGTTTTAAGAGGAGTTCATTTGCTTGTCATCTCATGAGTATTTATAGCAAACTTTGTAGCTCTAAAACTTAGAAAAGGTACTAAAACAAGAATAGATATAAGATCAATAGAGTGAGAAGCCCAGAAATCAATCCTAACATTTGTAGTTACCTGATATTTTCACAAAGGGACCAAGACAAAGAGAAAAATAACAAAACAGTCTTTTACAAAATGATGTCAAACAAGAATACTCCTCTAGGAAAAGGTGGGATCTGGATCTCACCTTACAACACACACAACAGTGAGCCCAACCGTACGTACATTCTAGACCCAAACTTAAAGAGTTACGCTGTCAAAGTTCCCCCTTTTTTTTTGAATTGAAGCAATATAGTTATTTTTAAACTTTCTTAGAAAAATGTGAGGAGAAAGAAAGAGAAATTACATGATCAAAAAAGCATGAGCTTCTCCAGAAGAGAAAAAGCAGGCAGAGACTTAGAGAGAAACTTGTGAGATACATGTTCCAGGGATAGCAGGGTCTGGAAGGACTGAGAAGCCCAGAGTTGTTCAAGTCTTAGAAGAAAATGCAGCTATAAATCCTTGGATTGGTCAATCACTTCTTAGATACAAGATCAAATACATAGAATAAAACAGAAAAGATAAATGGACTTCCTTATATTTCAAAACTTTTGTCCTTTTGTATTTCAAAGGGCATTTAAAAAGTGTAAGATATTAGTCATACCTTGGTCTTTGATTACAAAACTGAGATGACCAAGCAGCGTGGGAGGGTAGCAGGAGGTAGAGGTGGATCGGAAGTGACACTAGGACATGGTGGAGGGTCATGGGCATTTTGATGGTGGTAAAGGTGCGATAACTTTGTACAGCAAAACCAGAAATGTGAATACTATTCTGACTGTGTTACCTAAGTGACAATAAAAAGTCAAAGAGAAAAAAAGGGTAGTTCATAAGTAGAACAAGAACACTTGTAAATCATAGATTGATAAGGTTCATGTATCCAGAATATACAAAGAAATCTACCTGTATAAAAACAAGAACATTAGTTCAATTAAGAATTAAAAAACAATGTGATTACATTTCTCCAAAAATAATTTTCAATAGGCACATAAATTTTTTTTTCATCAGCATTGGTCATTAGGAAAAGAGAAATTAAAACAATGGCATACCATTTCACACCATCACATCGCTAAAATAAAAAGACACTAAAAGTTGGTGTTAGTGACGATGTGGAAAACTTGAAGCCTTATTATCGCTAACACCCAGGAATGGCTGAGATTAGTACCAGGAATTTTGCTCCATGAATGGAAGGCCAGCCACATGTTCTAGGTGAAAAGGAAGCTCAGATAGAGAAGAGGAGACCAAATGAAGGGTGTTGTGAGGACCCTCCCAGGGTGGGAGAAGCATGCTAAAAGTAGTCTATAGACCAAACATGATTGCCACTCAATGCCTCTCTTGCAAAACACAGTACCCAAAAGAAGAGAGAGAGAACAAGGGGGAATACCCTGCCACAGAGGCAGGATGGGAGGGGGGGGGGGGGTATGGGGGGGATGCTGGGACCCGTGGTGATGGATGACGGGCACTGGTGGAGGGATGGGCACTTGATCATTGTATAAATGAAACCCAAGCACAAAATTTGTAAGCCTATAACTGTACCTCATGGTGTTTCACTAATAAAAAAGAAAAAAAATTACCAACTAGAAAAATATTTAATGTGGAAATATTTTAATGAAAGGTACTGGCAATAAAAAACTTTCCTAAGGCTCACAAAGAGATTTTTAGATTTTTTGCAGTTGCAAGAGATGCAGACTGAAGCCAGGAAACATTAGCTCAAAGTTGCAATTTCTCCAGATGAATGCAGACAATTCTTTTGGGAGTCCCAGGAGGTGGGAGATGGGAGACATAGATGCAGGGCTCCGGGGAGAGACACCAACTGTCAGGGCTCACGGCAGCAGGCGCCAGCTTCCCTACATGGGGGGTATTGGGAAACGCTGGGCAAGACCGTGGCCAGTGTGGGCTCCTGTCCCCTCATTCTGTGACCCAGAAAACCTGGGAGAGACGACAGACACTGCGGTGAGACAGTCAAGTTCTTTCCCATTCATTTATGAGCAAGACCAAGACTCTGCTACTGAGATGCTCTCAGCCCCCTCCCTCCCCGAGTCCCAGGTGGGAAAAAGAACTCCTATCCAGGGGTCCCACACTGCATTTCACTGCAGACATGTTCCAAAGCAAGATACCCGCTGCAAGATATCTGCTGGCTAATTACAGGAGCACAACTCAGTCCAAAAGTAGAAAGGCTCTTTCACTTCAATACTGACCACATTTAGAAGCAAACACGCACATGTAGGCAGTGGTTTTTGTTATTCTGGGTGGGAGGGCGGGGGGAGAGGCGGGTCTTCTGTGCCGAGTTCTTGGGGTTTCCTTCCGAGACACTCACGTACTGGGTCACTGCCAGGATCTAATGCTGCAGTGTGGCCAGGCCAGCAGTGACAGGGATGGAAGCAGGCTCTGGGCATCCCAAACATCTGCCCCTCTCACTTCCTTACCATCCCCCCCAGTCTCTGCAGTCTCTGCTTACCTAAATCACACTAAGATAACATGTTAGGAACACCTTAGGGAAAAATGGCACCAACTGTTCTAAGATTTTATTAAGGCCCACAAAAAAGTCCCCGCAACAGAAAAAAAAGAAAACAATGATGAATGGCTTTTTTTGTTGAGAGAGAAAGAGAAAGAGAGAGAGGTTGGATTATAGGTTAAGTAACATCTCTCCTTTTCTCTTGCTCTACATCACTTCCAAAGGAAAGCAGTGGGAAACACAAGCCTCTACCTCCCCGAAGGAGGTCGGCCTGGCAATTTCAGGACTGAAAATTCTCAGCCAGCTGTTGCATGAACATTCTTTTGGTCAGAGGCACGGAGACAGAACACACAAGAGGAATGTACAGAGCACGAAGGGCCAAGGCTCGTTCTGGCTCGAGGTGAAGAGCAAGTGCCAGAGATCTCCTTTTATTCCATTTTTTATCAGTTACATCCTAATGACTTAATCACAGTGAAAGACTCACTAACGAGTGTACAAACAGTTATAGGATGAGCACTGGTCAAAGGAACATCAGGGTATACACTGTCTTGTCAAAGCTATGCCGTCAAAGCTATGTTGTCATGATTGAAAACGTCAGAGAAGACATGGAGCTGGACACGTAGGCTCTACAGATTACATTCCCCACATTCCTGTGGTTGGTTACACATAGGGCAAAGAGAAGGCTCATACTGATACTTAAAGGTCAATCCAGATTAAGGATGTGTAAGAGGGGGAAACTGCTGCCTTGTACTGCCAAGATAGTGTATGACTAGGCGGGTGTATGAGAGCATGCTGTACTTCTCCAGGTCATCGGACTCACAAGCTTTTAGCTTGCCCACCTAGTGAGAAGTGGGGCCTCGGTTCTGCTTCCTGCTTGCAGGGCAGCATCCAGAGGCTCGTCCTAATGTCCTGGCTTAGCACTATCACTGTCCTTCCATTTTTCATCGATTTGCTCAAGTCGGCCCAGTAATGTCTCCACTGCGACACCTGTTACTGTGTTTGGCATATCGAATACATCACAAGTAGCTTGCCAGGCTTTGCTGTGTGGGCGAGATACTCTCAGAAGCTTGCTGGGCTCTCCGAGAGAGACGGAGGAATCGAACCTGGGTCGGCTGGGTTAGCCGCGTGCAAGGCAAATGCCCTCCCTGCTGTGTTATTGCTCCAGCCTGGCTTAGCACCAACAGCCAGTAAATACACTAAGGTTAAACGGGAGCCCAGAGACAAGGACACCGGCCCACAACACAAAGGCTACCCATGTTGGCAGACTCCAGGACTGACCTTCTTCCCTCCTGTCACAAACTGCTTGCAGCTGGATCTCACGAACTGTGGGTGCACAGCAACAATCTGCAAGAGAAAAGGGGGCGACACTGGTTCAGGAGTCCGTGAAAGCGCAGAATGAAAGCCACTTAGGCCTCACAGATGGAAGGAGCCAAACACCACCGGAAAGCTCAGTAATGCTGCAGCAGGCGGAGAGGGAGGCCTGGGAAATTTAAGAACAAATTGTTTGGTCCTGATGTCGTCCAACAGCACGAGTAAACAGATGCCTCTGAGACACAAATCCTGAACACTCTGGACATGGAGAAACTGAGGCATCCCAGGGAAAGGTGAACCCCCCTCGGAAACGGAAACCAAGGAAGAACCTAAGAATGAGAATCTGTTAGGACCATAAGAGTACCAGCCGTTCCCGGCAATAACACCCAGATCAACTTTCCTGAGACAACTGGGAGAAATTCCCCCTTTCTCCCAAATGCCATCCTCAGCTTTTCCCCTCTGGAGAAGTTAGTGCTCTCTCTAGAACGTGTATCTTTCTCTTAGTCTCCCCTTGAATTTATATAAGTGAATTTCTTTCAATTAAACTATTTTGTTCACTATTTCATTTCCTCCTGACATTCTTTACTGTGAGGGAGGTGATGTTCCTAGAATGAATGTCTGGTGGGGGGTTGGGGGGGTTGGGGGGGAAGGACTGACATTCCCGCCCAGAGCGATTTCTCCTCTTGTCCAAGCCCACGGGAACTCGGGTGGGGAACCGTCCGGGCTGTGCAGACCAAGCGGGCTTCAGGTGCAGCTTGACGGCTGCATGGTAGGGGGACGGAGCACTGGGTGCTGCGTGGGTGCTCGGGCTGGCACCAGGCATTTCTCTGGGAGGCCGAGCAGGATGTCCACTGAGCCGGAAGCACCTCCTGGGCTCCCCGCTGCACACAAGTCCAGCAACACCTGCTTCATCTCCCTACATACTCCCCTGCTTCTTCCCTCCAGCACTCCCCCACTTTCTGTGTCCTTTGTGATAGAGCTTTCGTTTTAATTTATCATCATTTTTAAATGCTTAAGTGATACAATTTATAAAACAGTGACTGGCAGGGCTTTAGGGTAGGAAACTCCAACAGCAAGCCATCCAACTCCATCCAGCCCAGCCCTCCAGCTGCTCATTGGTTCCCAGGCTCTGTTGCCGGCAGGCGCTTGCTATTCTGTTTTCTATCTCACCTCCTCAGCCCCTCCAGGGCTTCTGGAAGGCTGTTTCCTTTTGCTGAACTCTGCCTAGGCAGCGCCTTTCCTGGGACAGAAAGCCTATGATGGTCTACCAATCTTTTCATCCCGGAACTCAAGAAAATTCACTAATACATTTTGTTTTTCTGAAACCTGGCATACAGAGTATTTCGAGGCATTTACAATACCAACATAGTGGGCTAGAGCAACAGTCCAGTGGGGAGGGTGCTTGCCTGGCACGTGGTCGACCCAGGTTCAATCCCAACCACCCCATGTCCCTAAACATCACCAGGAATGACTCCTGAGTGCAGCCAGGAGTAACCCAAGTATCTTTGGGTGTGACTCAAAAAAAAATCAACACAATTGTACTGCCATAATCCTTCATCTAAGAAAGTTCCTTCAGCACCATCATCACTGACCCCTCATTTCTGACCACTGGTGTAGGGTTGGCTGTCCTTCACCTCCACACTCCTAATCCACCCCAGTAACCAATGTTGTCATGTCCACACTGTGCTGTTATGTATTCTTGGCATCTTTCATGAGGCCCTTTAGCTCTCTGACATGCAACCCTAAGAAGCAACTGTATTCTAGACACCCCCATCTGCTGCCTCCCATGCGCCCAACCAACCCCACCCCAACCCCAACCCCCCCGCACTCTCTCCTGCAGCCACATGACAGCCTTACCTGCTGCTCTCCCACCACCCCCAGCAGAGCTCACCTCCTCCATGACCCTCTCCAGGGTGGGACAGACTTCCAAGGCACCACTGCTCCCCTGCGGTGGACCCCATTTCTGAGCCCACTGATTATTCTCTTTCTTTTATTTCCAGTCTCCTCTGCTCTGACTTTTGACCATCAACCAAAACATGCCCTGTAGAAATCTTCTTCCCCTTTATCAACCAAAGGCCTTTCTTCCTCATCACCAGATTTTTGGAAAGACAAGGCGAGACTAGTAGTTTCTACTCCGCATGTCTGATTTCCAGAGGTGAGCGTCCATCCACAGAAAGCTGTCCTCACTAAAGTCACCATTGCGCTGTAATAATGAATACGATTCTTTCAGTCCACCCTGTGCAGTTTTCCCGCCGGCCTTCTTGGTGAAGAGCCCTCTGCTGCCCTCTTGCAGCCTGGAACTGCCCATCTCTCTACCTGGTTTTCTTCCTCTCTCTGAGTTCCTGGAGTACTGCAGAATTGTGCCTAAGTCTTTTCCTCTCTTAGCTTTTCCCTGGAAAATCTCTTTAAAAATAGCTGGTTTGTATTCAATTAAGCTGTCCTCAGCTTTGCGGTCTTAGAGCCAATTTCCATTTTCTTGTGGAAACCTCATGCTTCAAAAACAGTTCCACTGGGTGCACTTCCTTATTCCCGAAAACCAGAGCAAGAGCCTGGACTGCACTGCCGCCCCACTGTGATCCCCACAACCAACTCATCCTTCAACAGTGTTAAGTTTAGCTCTGAAGGCTTTTCGAATCTATTTTCCCTACACTCCCCTGAAGACTATTGCTCTTTAAGAACAAGGTCCTGCCTGAGCACTGCATTATTTCTCTGAATGGTCTTCTTCCCTGCAGCGCTGACTTTCTAAAGTAGGTATCAGATCCTATCTTTCCTCAAAGGTTAGTCGGTGAATACTTGAATGAGTGAGTGGGAGAATGAATGACTCCTTTAACTCCTCGCACTACTACACTAGTGATGCCATCCATGCCTTGGCACCAGCAGGCATCCACTGCCTCTCCAGTCTGGACTGTACATGGTCCCCGTATTCATTTTCCTCAGGCTCGGCTCAGCTTATGCTCCTTCTTTGCTCTTAAACATTCAATGATTTCTCCTTATCTACTTGATGGACCCCAATTCCTTAGCCTGACCATAAAGCCAGACCAATCTGCCTCCACTGTCTTCCTGCCAACTCAGTATTTTATGCACCATCTAAACGAGACTATTTGCGACTTCCTGAACACAGTTTGAACTTGCGGTCCTTTCCATTTCATTATATGGTTCTTCCACAGGGAAACCCAGTGTCTTTCTCCACCCATACATTTATTACAGCCCAGTCGAACATCACTCCATCTGGGAAGCCATTACTAACAAGTTACAGAAGTGACTTCTCTCAACTTCAAGCTCCTTAATAATGCCTCTGAGCTTTTAATCACAAACTCTGTCTCTTTATGTGTGCTCCTCACCTCACCCACTACCACAAAATCCCGACAGGTCAAGAGCACCATCAGATATTTCTATCTTCTGGTTTCCCCCACACTCTCCCCACAAGTACCTTGTACTTTTAAAATGATGAAGCTTTCTGACAAAATTAATGCAAGACTAATGGTCTTCATAGCATTATAATCTTTACTGCTTTAACTGGAAAAAAAGAAACCTTTATGAAATTTAAAACTGAATACTTACTTTAATGGGACAGTCAAAAGTCTCATGAAACTCTTCTCCAGTATACAGTCCAAACACCTGCACCTAAAAATGTAAATAAATCCTTTCAGTTGACTGTGACAGCAACAAAGAAGGCTACTGAGTCAGTGAGAAGACAGAAAAAATTTTAAAAAGCAGAACACTTAATAACCTAAGGCCCTTATGTTCTCTAATTTATAGTAAATGAAAACAATTCTATCAGGCTGAGAGTAACTCCACTACACTTAAATCTACACACATTTCCTGGAGAGAGTTCCCTTACATATCACAGATTAAAATTATTAAGTGCATGTCAGTTTTTACAAATAAAATAGGTAAGAATAAGTTATTAGCATATTTGAATAAATGTACCACAGAAACAACTTACTTTAAAGAAACAGCTTTCCCTTTTTTAAAGGTAAAAACAGTTTCCTTTTTTAAGTCCCATATATATAAATCAGTCTTTCAGATCAATGTGGTAGGCGATTAGGTAAAATGCATTTCATTTATAATCGTATGCTAACTCTATTGAGGTTGTATTAACATAAGGTTTAAGTTTTTACTTATAAATACCTTTCGGCTGCTCCAGATTGTTTAATCTTTTACGAGTAGGACACTTAAACAATTATTTTAATAATATATATTGTAAAAGGTATTAATAATAAATATGAAGCTTGAAAATAGCATATGTAATAAATATAGCCAAACCAAGAAACACACTCAGCCAGTTTCTTCTATTCTCTTTCTAGTTAACAGTACATCACAAATAAAATGCTCCCCAAATCTGTGCAGGCTTATTGTGCTTGTGTTTTAATTTTATATAAATTGGATGATATACTATTTCATTGACTTCTCTCATTCAACATTTACTTTGTGAGATTTATCCCTACGGCAGCATATAAGCAATACCTGGCTCTTTATCACTGCCTATGATATTTCAACCTATGAATTCATCAGGGTTCACGCATACATATTCATCTTTATTCTTTTAGGCTGTTGCCAGAGTAGGGCTAGCATAAACAATATAGTATTTTAATGAATATTCTTTACAAACAATTTGGTGAATTTCTATGTTAAGAAAGGTAGAGAGCTAAGAACAGAATTATTGGGTGAGAATATGCACCTACTCACACTTAATAACTTAACTATTTCACAAAGCAGTTTTGGTCAATCTGCACTTTTAACAACATAGCAAAAACAATTTCAGAATCTGTGGAAAACAAAACTATTTAGGGCCACTTAGAACTATTTTCTGACACTTGGGCTGTTTTCACTCTTTGAAACTCTAACAGAGTAATATTACTTCTTAATTTTTGTAAGACCAATAGGCTAGACTGGAGATTACAGAAACGATCCTAAGATATAAGAAGTGGAGCAAGGAAAACCTCTCCAACAATAGGTCAGTAACATGCAAAAAATAAAATATAAAAAGAACTCCTTTCTAACACCATGCACAAAAGTCTAATAAAGACAAACTAAAGGCCTGAATCCATAAATTATACTGAGGAAAACAAGTCATGATATTGAATCTAGAGGTCTTCATTCAAATACCACTGACTTAGCATAGGGAAAGAAAGATCAACAAAAGGGAATACATCCAACTAAGAAGTTACTCCACAAAGAAAGGAACCATGACCAGAATAAAGACACCCCACAGGCTGGGAGTGAATATCTAACTACCACTCATCTAACAAAGGGTTTGTATCCAAGATATATAAAGCCCTGGTAGAACATCCCAAGGGGTGGGGGGAGAAACCCAACCCCAACAAAAAATGGGGGAGGAGGAGATGAACAAAAACTTATGATGGCCAAAAAGTATATGATTAAATGCTCTGCACCACTTATCATCAGGGAAATAAAAATCAAAACAACGAGATATTATCTCACACCAGGGAGACTGGTACATATCACAAACAACAAAAACAATCAGTATTGGCATAGGGACCCTTATTCACTGCTGCTGGGAATGTTGACTGATCCAAGTTTTGGGGAAAACACTATTAACACTTCTCAAAAAACTAGGAATTGAGCTTTCAAGTGACCGAACAATCCCACTTCTGTGCATCAACCTCAAGAACCCCAAAACTCTATTCTGAAAAAATAGGTACACTCCTGTGTTTATTGCAGCTCTACTCATGCTAGCCAAACCTAGAAACAACCAAGAACTGGTTGGTACATCTATATAGTGGAATACTACTTGGCTCTAAGGAAAAACAGCACTGTGCAATTTACTGCTATGTGGACGGAACTGGAGTGTAGCACACTGAGTGACAATAGTCAAAGGGAGAACAGGTATAAAATGATCGCCTCCATATGCGGGATATGAAGAAACAGAGTAAGGGAATCACAAATGCCCCAAAACAACAGAAACTGAGAAGTGGGTCTTTATTTAGAAGCTCCCCACAGGTGGGGAGTGGGAGTAAGGCTGCGGGAGTGGTGTGGTGGATACTGGGACAATGGTAGATGGAAGTGGACACTCTGGCAGAGAGTATGGTGCTAGAATGTTGCATATATGAAATGTTGCCATTACAGTATTATAAATCATGTACAACACTGTATGACTTAAACCCAATTATGAACAACTTTGTAACTTTGTATCTCATGGTGATTTAATTCAAAAAATAAAAGATGTCCATGACTGTTGAATCTAAGGTAAAGGTAAAGGTAATGGCCCTCCGTTGTTCATCGATTTGCTCGAGCGGGCCCAGTAACGTCTCCATTAGAGACTTTGTTGTTACTGTGTCTGGCATATCGAATACGTCACGGGGAGCTTGCCAGGCTCTGCTGTGCAGGTGAGATACTCTCGGTAGCTTGCCGGGCTCTCCGAGATGGGCGGAGGAATCGAACTCGGGTCGGCCATGTTGGCTGCATGCAAGGCAAACGCCCTACCGCTGTGCTATCATTCCAGCCCTAACTGTTGAATCTGGTATAGAAAAAAAGAATCATGGTGTCAAAGGAAAATAAATTTCTAAAAATTAAGATAATTAGCACAGTGGTAGGGCGTTCGCCTTACAAGCGGCCAACATGGCCGACCCGAGTTCGATTCCTCCGCCCCTCTCGGAGAGCCCGGCAAGCTACCGAGAGTATTCGATATGCCAGACACAGTAACAACAAAGTCTCCAATGGAGATGTTACTGGGCCCGCTCGAGCAAATCGACGATCAACGGGAGGGCCTTTACCTTTTTACCTTTTTAAGATAATTCTATTATAGGGCAAAGTACACAAAATACAAATAAGTTACACATAAACCTGTTGCAAATAAACATATATCAATAAATGAGATTAATTTTATGGTGAAATTTTATGGCTTGTGAATTTTATGGTGAAAATCACATTGTCAATTGCCAGAAAAGAACATTCTTTAAAAATTGTAAATTCATAATAAAAAAACATAAAAGAGAAAAAAATTATATAAAAAAATCCTAGCAAATGGGTTGATAGTCATCACTGTTTTCTTGGTAATGGGTTCTTTTTTAAAATTGTCACTTATTATTATTTTTAGGTAACAATATTATTCTTGAGAACAGCCAAGCAAAAATGCCCCTGTCAGTGTTTAGACAGGCAGTGTCTGCTGAAGTCTGTAAGATTACACCTCATGTCATTCTCTATGTTTACCTGAGGAACACTGAAAGCAAAAACTATAACTCTGCAAGACAAATTTCATCCATGTTATTTGTGTCAGTTGGGTGATTTGTAAAGCCACTGATATTTTGATTTGTTCAATTAATGTGGCATTTGAAAATAATAAACATAAGTTATACCATTAAAGGCAACAAAATCCACCCCCCCTTCAATTCTTTGCTCTCCATCTTCATTTTGCATTTTGTGTCAGTGAATTTCATTTTCATCTATTAAAAAGATGTTATTCAAGAGAAGATTATATTTAGAGATGGAAAGATCAAGAATTATATGTTTATGGAAAGTATCATGTTAAGCAAAATGAGTCAGAGAGAGAGGGATAGACAGATTGCATTCATCTGGGGAACATAAAGTAACAAAATAGGAGACTAACACCCAAGAATGGCCGAGATTAGTACCAGGAATTTTGCTCCATGGCTTGGAGGTCAGCCACACATGCTAGGGGAAAAGGCAGCTCAGATAGAGAAGGGAGCACCAAATAAAGGGTGTTGGGAGGATCCTCCCACGTTGGGAGAAGCATGCTGAAAGTAGACAATAGACCAAACATGATTGCCACTCAATGCCTCTTTTTCAAACCACAACACCCAAAAGGAGAGAGAGAACAGAGGGGAATGCCCTGCCACAGAGGCAGAGTGTAATGGGGGGTGGATTGGGGAGGGATACTGGGACCCGTGGTGGTGGGAAATGGGAACTGGTGGAGGGATGGGTATTTGATCATTGTATAATTAAAACCCAAACACAAAATTTGTAAGTCTACAACTGTACCTCATAGTGTCTCACTAATAAAAATTAAAAAATAAATAAAGAATTATATGTTTAAAGGTCCAAATGAGGAAAATTTGCTTTGAAAACAGTAGTCACTAGGGAAAATCTCGCAATCTCATTCAATCTGCCTTAAAATTACCTAATGGGGACCAGTGACCTGGTACTGTAAGCAAAGCACTTGCTTTGCATGCAACCAACCCAGGTTTGATCCAGACACCATATATGATGCTCTGTGCACAGTGATCCCTAAGGATAGGGCCAAGAGTAAGGCCTAAGCATCAGTGGGTATGGCCCCCAAACCAAAAGAATAGTAGGGATGGAGTCTTGGTCATTCCATCTAGGAAAATAGCCAATGGCTTTCCGCATGACAAGAAAGGTGGCTGGTTTCTGTATTTTTCGCCCATGTAGCATTAAGAGCTCCAAGAAACTTGCTAAGAGCACATCCCACTTCACAGGGAAGTTGCCTGAAATGAATTTCTTCAATAAAATGAAGGTGGAACTCATTAATAATGTTCACACATGGATTAAAAAGTTGATTCCAAAATACTTAAAATAAAAAAAAATACTTAAAATGATAACAAGCAGGACCAAGAAAAATCAAACAAAGAAATCTGTTTGCTAACTCATACAAAAAAGAGTTCTTCCATGAGTTATAAAGCATA